TTTCATTATACTTCATAAGACTTACACGTTACAATTGGCCATTTTAGTGAAGCAAGAGCTGATAACAGTGCTTTACATACGAAACACATAACTTAACGACAAATTCCCTTTCCATATATTTCTCTGATCATTATTGTCAGTTAATTTCAGATTTTGATGTACCACTTATGTCTAAGCATTACATACTGTAGCTGAAATAAATATATCACAGATTTATAACTGTGTACTGCACTATTCTACTAACTTTAACCTGGACATTTGCTGGCTACTGTAAAATCCTAATAGTTACGAGAGGCAAACTTAAGTCATATGTCCTTGAATGAAATGGCACCATAGATTTTCTATTACACTATGATAAACTGAAAATTGGTAAATTACTTTGATTGTAGGTTCTGCATTTTCTACTTCTGATATACAACATGTCCCAACTTCCTTGTATATCTAACTGACCTCCTATTTCATGTCTCTAACCATTTTGTTTCTTATTCTTACCCTGTCTGCCCTTCCCTCTTCTCTAATTCTTCAATCTTTCTTTCTTTCCTCAGTGGACTTCCATGATACTACCTTGAGAGCAAGTGGAGACATAAAAATAAATCCCAGAAACACATCAGCTGTTAGTACATACTGCTCTGTAAGTGGGTAAAAAATGCATGGCTTCTTCATCATATTGTTCATGAAACCATACGCAGTAGAAGACACACAGTAGAATTTGTAGGAAGATATAACAGCTAGATGAAAAAAAAAAGGTACGTAGCATTCAAAACCCGATATTTTTACTCATATATCAGAGCCCTCCTCAGGAGTATGAAGCAAAAAGAACTGGATCTCTTTGGTGTTTTCATCTTCAAAAGGAGTCTAGTATTTGGTGCAAACATTGTGGATTTTAGTGTTAAATTGGTATATCCTTTTAATTTATTTGTTTATTTCAAGATAGATGGTGAATTTTTAAGTAAATTTTGAGGTTCTAAAAATGAATATGAACTTCTCACAATTCAATTCTGAATCAGTTTATACCTGTCATAGGTTAGAAGTAATATTCAACTTCTATTTTTGAGTTAAGCTGGTCCTGTTAGATTTTTTTACATCTTTGCAAAAGTCTCCTTCCATTATTACCAGTAATAGTTACAGGATGATACAAATTAATTTACCTCACACTCAAAATACTTTAAATGCGAGCATTCATACCTATATCTTCAGAATTATCAAGTTATCCTTATCTAAGGAGACAGGGGATAAACAACAGTTATTCCATATACTTAACAAATAGCAAAGAGATTCATTGTAAGACTTAAGACATCTGGCCTTGAAAATTATGAATGAAACTATTTTTGAGCATGTGAATTTCACAGAAGAATTCTTATCATAAAAAAGAGACATAACATTTTGTACTCTCAAATTTCTTATCAAAACAGACCTCATTTCCTTTAAACTTAATAATAATAATAATTTTTTAAAAATGCTGAAAATCATCTCTAGTCTCACCTTCTGCTACCATAATCTGTATTTCAGAGTAGGCTTTGTTCAACCTGTTTTCTGCTCACATGAGGGAGCCCAAAGAGAGGTAATTCTGTACCTCAATATAATCAAGTGTGTAAATTCCTTTGCAAGAATAAAGGTAAAAGTAACAATAACATATTTTTCCTTCTATCTTGCATCTCAGAAAAAAAAAAAAAAAAAATCAAGTAGACAAACTATGGATATTGCATTGCAGCGAATATTTCCAAGACTGGAAAATTTTGTCAACATATATCTTTTTGTTAGTACTAGTTCGAGAGCTATTTCCCTTTCGTACTAGCTATCCCCTAAGCATTTCACAATAAATAAATTCAGCCAATAAATAATGGAAAAATAGCTGTAAAAATCTTTAGCTGTACCTCAAATCATAAGCAAACATTGGTACAAATAATTTGCTTAGCCTCTCCATTCTCTTCAGATCTCAAGTCTTGGATAACTAATATATGACAAAACACAGTCTTGAATGGACACAAATCTCGAAAAGAAGTGTATACTTAAAGCCAAAAATGGACACCTGCTCCCTTCTCAGCCTAAACTGAAGATGTCTAGGCTAAATTTTCCAGCTCTTTTGCGCACCAAGTTGACTGCCACTGAAATGAAAGAGGATATTATAAAATCTTCAGTAGTGACCACAAAAAATAAAGAAATATATATGCATACATAAAGAAAATCAAATAATGAAAAAACACATTGGACTAAATATAAAAATATAGCAAGAATAACTAACCTATCTGACTATATATAAATGGATGCTTACCTTTTAACAATACTGCATGCAGTTATGGCAACACAAAGCCACACACATAATAGGGCTAAAACTTATGCATGCAGTTCAGTGTTCTCCACTATAAGCAAGAACCAAAGACTCCAGCTCTTTATTTCTATGAACTATATTTTGCTTTTTGTAAAAGGGCCCATATAAACGTCAAGTGAAAAGAAGAAAAAAACAAAAAAACTTTTGTATCATTCATTTTTAGGAAGGGGC